GGCCGCGGGCTGCGGGCAGGAGCGGGGCCGGCCCCCGAGAGCCACGCCCATCCGAACGCCACGCCCACTTCCGAGCCGCGCCCACCCGGGCGGCTGGCGCGCGAAGACGCCCACCTGCGAGGACTGGGCACAGGCTCATACGCGCGTGCGCCCACGCACCGCAGCCGGGTTTCCTTCCCGACCACCCCTTTCTTAATCCCAAGCCCCTGAGACTCCCCACTGCAGAGTCCTTGAAGCCAGGCTTGACAGCGGGAGGATAGAGAGCCGCGACCCCGGGGGCACGCCCTCCGACAGAGCCCAACCCTGGCCACACGGTGGCCACAGGGCCAGAGCAGGGTTAGGTGTCTCCAAGGTCTGAGCGAAAGGGGCGGAGCTTGGGACACAGTGTCCTGGGCGGGGACAGGAGCCCGGAGGGAAGCTTCTTAGACGATTTGGAAAGACTTAGCCAGCGCTCCACCTATGGCTCCTGGAGGAGAGCCCTCGGAGCAGGAGGAGTTCCGGTCCTCTGATCCTGATGGACCAGCCTCTTGCTGGCCTCTTACACCGTCCAGTGAGGGGCCCAGGCCCAAGCCCAGGCCCATGAGACCCTAGAGGCCCCAAAGGCCCGGGGGGACCCTGGTGAGCCGGAGCTAGGTCCTGTGACCTTGGTTAAGTCCGGACCAGAAGGGGCTGGCTGCAAAGACGCGGCCCCTAGCGTCTTCTGGGGAGAACCCTTCCTGGGAGGTAACCGTGGAGCTGGGGGCTGGGAGCGCACGGGCTGGGGGTGTGTCTGCAGGATGTCCCCTCCCTTCCCACCCTCTGCGGGAGGATGCCCCGGCAGGGAGGACGGATGGGACTCAATGGTTTTCCTTCCTCCCTTTCTGGCAGGTGAGACACCATGGGGCCTTGAGGACCGCTGGAGTCCGCTTTGCCTAAAAAAGGAAGCAGCGCAGCTAAGCCTGAGAAGCTGCCGGCAGGAACAAGCGAGAACTGTGTCCCTTGCCGGGAATCTTGGCAGTGGATGCTGGCTGGGCTCCACAGACCTCAGGCCTCAGCAGGAGCAGAAGTTGCTTGGAGCTTCCGCCTGGGCCCTGTCGGGGGAGCCATGGGCAAGATCCCCACAGTCTGGGGTGCACCACCAGGGCCCTCGCCTGGGCCCCAGCCTCCAGCAGGCATGAGCTGCCATGGGAATGGGCACTGTGGACCAAGGCCCTAGACAGGGTGGCGGCTCCCGGCCAGTGGAGGCACGCCCAGGTAGACAGTTTCCCTCCAGGGCCCTGGCTGGGGAGCTGGGCCACACTGGACCCATCCCTGGGGGAGGCCACGCTCAGTGCTCGGGCTCACAGTCACCTCCGCCAGCCCTGCTGCACTGACGGGGAAGGTTCCCTCCCTTCTGGAAAAAGTGAGCGGGTCTTCTTGGCCACGACTCAGACCCTCAAGGAAACAGCCGCCCTCCTCCCTGCAGCCTAAACATCAGAGGGAGAGGACTGGGGAGGCCCAGGCTGAGATCAAGCCTCCCTTGCGTTCGACTTCCTGGGAGACCCCGCTCAGCCAAGTCGTGCCCCTGTGTCCCACACTACTGCCTCCCATGCTGTCCCCAGCCACATAGAGAGCCGCGCACAACCAAAGGGCCCAGGAGCATGGTGTTCGGCAGGGTCACAGCCAGACACAGGGCTGGGCTAGCAGCACACAGAGGGGAGGCACAGAAAGAACTGTTGAAACCCGCTTCTGAAGGAAGACAGTCGGGGGAGAGGCCCAGAGACTTGGGCACGGGCAGGGACAGGCCAGGCCAGACTCAGCAGCGCTGGCCCTCAGCCCTCGGCCTCCCCCAGGCTTGGCTGTGCTCGGTCCTGGTGCCCGGCAGACCGAAGATGGAAGATGCAGCCTGGGAGGCTGCAGCCACCCTGCCCAGCCTTGGCCCAAGGCCCAGGAGTCCCTGTGCCTCCCTCTAAGGCTGGCTGTCAGCAGGCAGGTGGAAGGGTTTCCTGGCCAGGGACAAGGCTGTAGCAGGCTCCACCCGCCCCCACGAGGTCCTTGAGAGGGCTCCCTCCCCCACACAGCCCAGGCTTCTGGAGAAGAAGGGCCTTTTGTCCCCAGCTCACTGTAGTCATGCTCGACCCCATGGAAAAGGGCAGCTCCTGGGGCCTCTGACCCCAGTGGAGGGCAGAACAGCGTGGGCCCCAACCCTCAGCCTTTGAGCTACTGTTCGTCATGTGGCTTGTGTCCCACACACTAACCCACACACATGCCAAGTCAGAGAAACAGGAAGTGGCAGGAGAGACCTGGCCAGGGGAGTGGGGTAAGCCTGGGCTCTGTGATCCAACCCCAGTACGTGGGATGTGGGGCAGGGGGACAGGGGCAGGGGACAGCCAAGTGCAGCTGGACCCTGCAGCTACCTCCTGTTGCCTCTCTACCTTCCTGTAGACTTGACTCCCCATTGTGGGGTCAAGGCCGTGCCAGGCAGGGCCCAAGGACTGTCCTGGAGACCTGAGGTCCTGGCTCCCCTCCAGGAGCCTGAGCTGACTCCTGCCCAGTCCCTCTGCAGCTGGGGTGGCAGGATGAGCATCCAAGCTGTGGCCGCTGCATCATCTGTCACACTGACCTCTGCACTGGGGACTCAAGGCACAGGCAGAGCCAAGTGCCCACTACAGAGAGGCCTGGCTGCTTTCCTGATGCAGGTGGGGGCCTGTGAGGCTGAGGGCAGCAGAGACTTCAGGACAGGAGCACGGGAGGGAGGAGAAAGGGCAGGGCTGGCTGCAGGGCCTTCAAACCACAGGGTGGTGGGTGGGACTCTGAGGGAGGAGGCAGGGCGGAGGTATATGCATTACACGCTCAACCTCAGGTTTTGAGGGAGATGCCCAGGTAAACAGCCACATAGCTGGGCATGGTAGCATATGCCTGAAATCCCAGTACTCTAGGAGGCTAAGGCAGGAGGATCCCAAGTTTTGGCAGAGCTTGGTCAATTAGGGACTTATCCAGACCCCCTCTAAAAATAAAGAATACAAAAAGGGTTGGGGATGTAGCTCAATGGGAAGGGCCTGGGTTCAATCCCCAGTGCTGAAAAAAAAAAAAAAAAAAAAAAAAAAAAAATCAGAGATAGGACAGGAACTTGGAGTCAGAGGGACAAGACACAGAATGTCCCATCTGCCTAGCAGTAGTGCGCCTTCCCAAGGGGGCCCTGCCTGTCTCCAGGAAGGGTCCAGGCAGGCTCAGACAGGAGCCCTGGGCAGGCCCTAACATCCAGGGGCCTGATGGGATGGTGGCAGCGGAGAAGACAGCACTGTGTCAACACCAGGAGGAGGAGATGGGCCCAGGTGGGGTCCTGTCCAGGTGCAGGAAGGGGGGCAGCTGAAGGCCAGCGAATACCTCTGTTGGGGGGGGGTCTTGTAGGCAGAGGGCCAGGGGGCCCCCTTCGTGACAGACACCCTCGGTCCTTTTCCAGCTACCCAGATGACTTCCTAAGGCACCTGGAGAGGCCACTGCTGGGAAGAGCCTGGGTCCTCCTGTCCCCCGGGCCCAGGGCTTGTGTTTGGGGCTCTGGTGGTCCAGCTGCAGCCTGCAGCACACAGCAGGCTGAGCTTTACTCTCTAGGACAAAACCCAGACATCAGGTCCCTCTGTGGATATCTCAAGTCCCCTACAGTGTTCCTTTTTTTGCCTACTTCTAGGGTTCACACCTAGGGCCTCTGCTTGAGTGTGCTCTGCCACTAGGCTACAGCTCCAACCCCACAGTAGTCCTGATATGGGAAATGATATAGGACCGCCAAATGTGATATAAGGGAACTGTCATAACTCCCAACCTGCTAGATGTCTGATGCACTGAATTTGTGTTTCCTAAATCGAAGAATGAATTCAAAGGAACAGAGGAGTAGGAAATATTTATTGAAAAGGGAAGAGCACCTGAGACGCAGGAGGGGCCCCAAGGGGGTTGCCAAGGAGCCCATTTCTCAGGGGAAGCTTTATAGAGCACAACCACATGGGTACAACATGGGTTACAGCTATGGTCAACCAAAAACGTGCCAAGTACAGCCACTTAGGTAATACTGATCCAATGGGGAAGCAAATGCACATGGAAAGCACGAAGAACTCTGCAGGAAGGAGATGAGTCTGAGGGTCTTGGTCACCCATTGAGGTGACTGATGTCTGCGTAGACTTCATGAGACCAGGTGTTACTACTTACCTCAGGCCTGGTTATTCTTTCTTTATCTTGTGGCCTGGCCTCCAACAGATGCACCTCTAGCACAGTTGTAATAAGTTTTCATCTTTTCCCTGGCTCTCTTGAGGACCCAGCTCTCTCTGACTGCCTATAATATTTCTTTTTTTTTTTTTTTTTTTTAATTTTAAAGAGTAAAAGAAGGACAACATAGCAATAGGGGGATGCACTGAATTACAAAGTGGTAGGACATTATCAATGGTTGTTATTTTACTTATTGGTATCTTCAAGATAGTTTCTCAGGAAAACAAATAAATAATAGTGAGTTACAGACAAAAATGGCAGGAAATTATCAATGGTTGTTATACTATAGCTTGGATTCTCCAAAGTGGTCTCTAGGGAAGACAAATAGAGCTATACATGAGTGATCACTCAAATAATCATTGACTATTTCTAAGTAACTTGGTTGTTTAGTCCTTTGGTTTTTTTAAATTTTTGAGACAGGCTCTCACTGTGCAGTCCAGGACAGGTTCAAACTTGCGCTATAGCCCAAGTGGCTTTAAACTCTCAACCCTCCTGCCTCAGCCTGTTAAGTATAGTTAGGATTACAGGCTTGTGCCATCACACACAGGACTCTTGCAGTGTCCCACTGAAAGCAGGCCTGCACAGTGAGGCTGAGGCAGGTCACTCCCCCACACCACTTGCCTCCACAGGGGGTCCTGAGGGCCAGCTGGAGGCTGTCTGGGTTCCTAACAGACCTAAGAAGCTGGGAAACACCTTTCCCAAACAAGCCGCCTCAGGCAGCTAGCTGCCAGGGCAGAACTCCCTGCTTGGCCTACAGCCTGGAGCTCCTACTCACCTCCCCACCCCCACCAAGCCCAGCTGTTGTTTTGACGAGCAGGGGCCAGGCAGATTCTCAGCCAAGGGCTTCCCAGGGGAGCCCTCATCCTGAACCCCCATTGGCAGCCAGATCCTGCCCAGCCTGGATCAGGAGGGGAAGGAAGGCGGCCTGCATCCAAGGGAAGCCCTCCTAGGTGGCTTGGCGACTGGCCGGCTCCGTCTGCTCAGGAAAAGCATCAAAGCTGGACACAGATGAAGGCTGGAAACCCCCCAGACACCCGCTGGACCTCACCCAGCTATACACTGGTCTCTGCTTGAGGCCAGAGAACTAGCATGACCCTGGTCAGAGGCCGAGCCCTGACCCTGTGGGTCACAGGCTGAGCCTTACTGCCGATATGCTGTGTGGCGTCATTTACAAGGCCTTTTAGCCACAGATTATTCTGGGTGAATTACACTGATCACACATTTTGAACACACTCCTGGGCTTACATGAAAGTAAATATCTGAAAGCTGTACTGTTACATTAAACATTACAGGGGCTGGGGATTTACCTCAGCGGCACAGCGCCTGCCTGGCAAGCGCAAGGTCGTGAGTTCGATTCCTGGTACCAGAAAAAAAACAAATAAATAAATAAACATTACAAGAAATAAACTCCAGACGTGGTAGCACACACCTGTAATCCCAGCTACTTGGGAAGCTGAAGTAGTACGCTCACAAGTTTGATGCCAGCTAACACAGATGAAGCCTTAGAATCCCTTCCCTCCCCTCCCCAAAATAATTACCAAATATTCAAGGAAACACTACACCATCTCACGCTGCATAGTGTGTTTAAGGCCAGCCTGAACTACACAGAAAGACCTTATCTCAAAAAAAAAAAAAAAAAAAATCAAAGCTGGTATCCAAAAAGTGAGCATCCAGAGATAATTAAAATACATCAGATAAATCTGAAAAGGTCCAAATACAACTTTTAGATATGATAATATAATAATGTAAAGCTTAAACGGCAGATTAGTAATAAGGAACAAATTCTAGTGACCTGGAAGAGGTCATGAAGAAATTGTCTAAAATGCTGCCCAAAAAAGACGAACTGACAAGGGAGAGAAGAGGTGCTGAAAGTGTGCGGCAGGAATTGGAGGCGGAGCTGGAGAGAGTAGTTCAGCGCTGAGAACACTCCCTGACTGCTGGAAGGCGGGAGTCTGCAGAACAGCAAACAAATCATGTGCACCACGTGGATAGTTAAGAACGCGCCCATGGTGGGTGCAGTGGCTTATGCTCCAAAAGTGGAGGGCAGAGGACCACAAGGTCAAGGCCAGCCCGGGTAATTTAACAAGACCCTGACTCAGAGGAAAGGAAAGACCTGGGAGCTGGAAGTGATGGCTGCTAGCCAACCATCCCAGCACTCAGAGGGGCCGAGGCCAGAGGCCTGACTGCAAATTTGAGCCCACCCTGGGAATTTTTATTTTTATTTTTATTTATTTTTTGGTCTTTTTGAGACAGGGTCTTGCTGTGCAGTTCAGGCTGGCCTTGAGCTCACTTTGTAGCCCAGGCTGGTCTTGAACTGGCAACAATCCTCCTGCCTCAGCCTCCCAAGTGCTGGGATTACAGGGGTGTGCCACCACGCCCGGCTCACCCTGGGCAATTTAGAGAGGAGACCATATCCCCAAATAAAATTAATAGTAATAACAAGGAAAGCTAGAGAGGGAGGGAGCTCAGTGTGAAGGCTGTGGTCAATCCCCAGTATCAAAAATAAAAAAAAAAAAAGAAAAAAAGAAAAGAAAAAGCCGGGAAGCAGCCCAGTGAGAAGCCCTTGCCTACACATGTGAGACCCTGAGTTCAATTTTCAGTAGCAGGGAAAACATATCCACACCTAGAAATACGCTCATAAAACTGCAAAACGCCAAAGATAAAGAGAGATCTTAAAATTACCCAGGAAAACAGAGTAAACCTTTACTTTGGCTCCCAGGCAGATGGAGCCCAGCCACACTGAGCCCTGATCAATGGCCCGGGTTGGCCCCGGACCAGTCACAGGCTCTGAAACCACTGTGATGGCCTTTAGTGACCCAACGCCCCCCAAGTAGGCCTGGCCACCTGCAGAACCGGGACACAAGGGGGTAGCGACCAGGACAGCCAGGGAGGCGGAAGGGCCGGGCCGGGTCACAGGAGCTCGGTGCCACCTGGTGGTCACCCCCGCACTGAGCACGCAGCCTCGAGGCCAACAGTGGCCCGCTCCTGCGCCTGGGACCGCTTTGTGGGTATCATGGGGGAACTCGGGGTCTTCCCGGGCGTCACACGCAGGCGCAGAACTGCTCCTCCCTGTTGGAGTGGGGTTCAGGGGTCCACGCAGAGGGCGGTAGCAGTGGGCGGAGGCGCCGCATCAGGTGGGAGCGGACGGCCGAGGCGAGCACGAGCAGAGGCGGCAGCAAGAGGAAGCCGAACACGATGAGCGCCGCGGAGCCGCGGTCCGAGAGCAGAGCGCGGCAGCCGGGGCCGGGAGCCGGGTGGACCTGCAGGCCGGAGGGTGGTCAGGGGGCGGGGCCGCTAGAAAGGGGCGGGGCCGCTAGAAAGGGGCGGGGCCGCTAGAAAGGGGCGGGGCCGGTGTTGGGGTGGGCGGGGCCGTAGCCCGGGGGGAGTAGGAGGCAGGGTCACAGGTCCTAGGCGGGGCCAGTCGGGAAAGGGCGTGTCCATGAGGGAGGTGAGAGGAAAAAAGGGGGAGGGCGGGCAAGAGTGAAGATGGGCGGGGCCGAGTAATGGGCCGGACCCTGGGGTCAATACGATATGAGGGTGGAGCCTTAGACCAGGCCGGTAGGACGCAGGGTGAGGTCCGGGGCGGAGCCTGGAGGGGCGTGGTCATAACGGGCGGGGCGTGCTGGAAGGGGTGGGGCTGTGGACGGGGTAGGGGCGAGCCCTGGGGCAGAACCCGCAGGGTCAGGTGTTGGAACGCCTGGGGGCAGGACATGCAGAGAATGGTAGATGTTAGACACGGATGGCAAAAGACTCTAGTAGAGGTCCTATACGAGGCTCAGAGAATCATTTGTACTTTCCCCTTCTCCCGTTTTCCTCCTGCCATTCACCCTCCATCCTGTAGTCACTGTCTTGGCGCTCACCTTGAGCCGCTGACCTGCTGACACCAGCTGACGCCACCTTCTCCCCGGACCCCGCCCCATGCTACGGAGAGGGCAGTCAGGGTCAGTCTGTGTGCACCTTCCCTGCCCCTGACCATGCCATAGCCCGCTGCACAGCTGGGGACACTGGCCCGGGCAGGAGGGCTCTGTGGGCTGTGTGTGTGGTAAGGACTTCTGAAATTTGGCAATAATTTCATCTCCTCCTGGAACCCCCTCCCCCTCGTCCCCACCCTGCTGTTCAGCCCTGGTGGCCCCTGGTACCAGGATGGGAGGCTGCAGGGACGGGAGGACGCTGTTCTGGTAACAAACAAAAGCCTTTCTTTGGCCTCAGGCGGGGGGGGGGTGGTGCTCGGGAGAGGCAGGGAGGGGTGCGTGGTGTCTCTGGGTATTAGGGCACACTGGTGGAAGGGGGCAGATTGTTAGTCCAGGGGCTCTGAACCTCTGCAGGACCCCACACCCCAGGGACCCCGCCCAGGGAGGGCTGAGCTCACCCTCGAGTGGCACAGGAATCCCAGGTAAACCACGGCCGCCGCAGGCAGCAGCACCAGCAGGAAGACTGTCCCCGGCAGCAGCAGGTGGAGCAGGAGCCAGGCTAGAGCGCGGCCCAGCAGCAGCAGGGTCGTGAGGCCCCGGCCAGCCTGGCCTGGCCGCTGTGCATATGTCAGGGCGGAGGTCTGGTGGTCAGGAGGCCTTCCGGGCAGCATGGGTGCTGTGTCCAACGTGCCCCCATCCTCGTCATCTTCCGTCTCCCTGTCCTGCTCACTCATGCTGTCCTGGCAGGGGTCTGCAGGGCTCACAGTGGCAGTCAGGCGGCAGGACCAGCACTCTCCCCGTCAGATTAGGGACCCTTTAATCCTCCCCCGGCTTGACCCCCATCCAGAATCCAGACGCAGAGAGCAGATGCTGGCCCAAGTAGGGCCAGCCCTGATGATCAGTCTCCAGGGCCACACTCTGCCTGGATTTCCCCACTGCTAGGCTGAGCCTCTCTCTGCCAGGCTATTGCTGCAGCTCCTGTGTGCTCTGGTTAGGCCTTACACAGATGTGTCCTGGCCTGGCTGGACACTGGGGCCCTCCTTCCTCCTGCCCGGCCCCCCCTTCTATTCCCCACACAATGACTTCATTTCATAGATCTTGGTTCTGACAACTGCCCCATCACCAGCTGCCCCCTAGAGGCCAGCAACCCACTTCACTTCCCCACTCCAGCCCCCCCCCCCCACCTCAGTGGTGTAAGAAGACCCCAGGCACCCACTCTGGGATGTTTCAGGGATGGAATGGGGTGTACAAGTGTTGAGAGCCGCTGAAGCTGGAAAATAATACATGTGCAGGGTGAAGCCAGCCTGAGAACACGGGGAGCACCTCAAAGTAGACAAGTCCCTCCGAGTAAACAAGCCTTTGTAACTTGCTTTTTTTTTTTAATTTTTTTTTTCTTTGTAACTTGTTAACTGGTTGCTGGGCAGCGAGACAAAAAATTAACCAACCTCTCCAGGGTATAAATAATTGCTCTACTGTTTTTGGGCAGTCTTCTTGCTCATCAGACAAGAGGTAACTCCACCTGACCTCAGCTCTTGTCTCTTGTCTTTATTTTTCTCATACCCACTGCCGTTTGTACAATGAGGTTCCCTATATACAAGAAGGGCTCGGCATGGACCTGGCATACAGTAGGCACTCAATAAGCTGCAGCTATGCAGACAGGCGTCCTTCGTGGTGAAACCCAATGCAGATGGTGGGAGTATATTCCATCGCTGTGAGAGGACAAGAAAACCCCACCCACTTTCCCCGAGCATTGCCAAAGTCCCTGCACTCATGGAAGTGGGGAGTGATGACACTGCTAAGACAGCCTGTGACACATCCCCACTGGGAGAAGAGGCGAGGCTCCCCTGCCCTGCTGCACAGGCAACTTCACTGTTTTTGCTGGCATACACACACAAAGATATGACCATGTCGTTTGAATACTTGGGCAGTGAATCTGGGGCTAAAGAAACGTTGCAAAGGATGTCTTTATGGAAACCTTCCTCCATTCTCTCAACAAAGTTATCAAACTGTTACTATGTATGTCTCAGGCCATTTTCTGTTGGTATAACTAAATTCCTGAGAAGGGGAAATTTGTAAAGAAAAAATACATTGGCTCACCATCCTAGTGTGAAGCTGGAGAGCGTGGTGTTGGTGATGCAGGGGAAAGAAACCCACCCCACCAGGTATCTGGTCCCGAGTTCATGTTCTCTAAAACTGAAGAATGAATTCTAGCAACAGCTTAGATTAAGAGCAAAGAATATTTCTTGGGGAGAGGAAGTTTCTGTCTGAGAGACAGACGGAAGGTGTCCCGAGTGGGTTGCTGAGGACCCTGTCTTTTCTAGAGATTTCTATAAAGCAAAATTAGGAGGTGAGGCAGGTCTGAGGAGGGGGAAAATGGGAAATCACAAGGTGGGCATGAGGTGGGACAATACTATGGTCAACCAATAAGATTACGAGCATGATTGCTCAGCTAATACTGATTCAATGGGGACCAAATGGGGAAGCAAGTCCGGTAGCAAGTGGGCATGCAGCAGGGCAGGGCTTTTCCTGGAGGGGGTGAGTCAGTGGCCCTTCCTGGCTTTCCCAAAGTGAACAATGCCTGTTAGAATGTGAATCACTGTTGTTTATTCTTAGGGGAAGTATGTGGTACATTCAGTTCATCTTTTGTCTTGAGGGCAGGCCCTCAGCGAATGTGTCTGTGTCTCCCTGACAGTTGCAGTGTATCTGGTCTTCTGTGCTGACTCCTTGGAGCACCCAGCCCTGTCTGACTGTGTACAATATTTCTACCCAACTTAGGTGTCTGTAACACCAGCATCCGGTCGGCCTCCCTCTCGGAGGCATCCATGTTCAGACATGGAGTGTGCTTGCTCAGGTGCCTCTTCCTCTTCCTGTGAAGTCACCAGTGCCCTCCGGGGGCCCTCGTGACCATGACCTTCTCTGACGCTAATTAGCTCCCAAGGGCCCCAGCTGGCAAAGACCATCAACAGACAACTTCAGAACTGAGATTGCAGTGCTTGAGCTGCCTCCTTTGGGACCTTGTCTGGGCTCTCTAGTTTCAAATGAAGCCCGGTTACGGATCTCCAGGTGGCTGCCAGGGAGCAGCCAGGCGTTGAGGAACCAGTACAGTCACCTCGTTTCCCACCTCCGCCTGCCCGTCCCGGCACAGCTGTACTGCAGAGGGGCTCCTTAGCAGTGGAGTCTCCATCCCTGTCCTGCTTTTCAGCATCACTGTCTGGAGCAAGGGCTACAGTGCATTGAGACTGTTGCAGAATTCAGGAGGTCAGAGAGACCAGTGAGGAGAGAGAGGACTTTACTAGGTGTACACCTGGCTCAGCAGGGACTCCCGTCCAAAGTGGCTGCGTGTTGGACAAAGGACAGGGTCCAGTTTTTATACATTTGGTCAAGGAGGTGGGTCTTTCCCGTGGAGAGAAGCTGGGGGGCTGCAATCGAGGATACAGAAGCAAGACAAAGCAATTCAAGGCAATTAGTAACTTGGGCTTGAAAGAAGTCAGAGCCTTAGGAATCACGTGCGAACAGTGTTATAAACTTTGTGTCAGGTCAGAGCTGTCCATCTTATCTGTACCAGAATAAGGAGTTACAGCCATAGGCAAGGAGGTAATATGAGGGGGACTGTGCAGGGCGGGGGTGGGGGGCTTCTTTCTTTCTTTCTCTCTCTCTGTTTTTTGAGACAGGGTTTCACTATGCAGTTCAGGCTGGCTTTGAACTCACTTTGTAGCCCCAGCTAACCTTGAATTTACAGCAATCCTCCTGCCTCAGCCTCCTGAAGGCTGGGATTATAGGCATGTGACACTGCACGCAGCCAAGTTTTTCTTTACACCCTGCCTCAAGACTATTGCTGTTCAGGGCTGGGGATTTAGCTCAGTGGCAAAACGCCTGCCTGGCAAGCGCAAGGTCGTGAGTTTGGTTCCCTGGTACCAGAGAAAAACCAAAAAAAAAAAAAAGAAGAAGACTACTGCTGTTCTTGCTTTTGGCATTTGTGTAAGTCCAGTGCCTGATGCTTCCTAGCTGGCCAGCTCAAGCTGGGACCTCAGGCAGTGTCCACTCTAGGGAAGAAGTCAGACATTTAAAATGAAGACTTTTTTTTCAAAGATTTTCGTTCTAAGGTAAATGCTAAGAATGAAGCAGAACAGGGTCAAAGGCTGGACGTGGTGGCACATGCCTGTAATTGCAGCACTCAAGTGTGGTGGTAACCTGAACACTAGGGAGGCTGAGGCAGGAGGATCACCTGGAGCTGAAGACCAGCCTGAACTACACAGCGAGACCCTGTCTTAAAACAAACAAATCTCCACACACACCCCCACAAAAAAAAGAGAAAAAAAATGGAAAAATGGAACAAGGCTGGATACTGAGGCTGCTTCACCTCAGCAGCTGGGCTCCAGGTATCTTGGGGGTGATGTCTGTGTGCCGAAGGCCACTGGGACAGTCTGGGCTGTCTGGAGGTGGGAAGGGGCCCTTTGCCCCTTGCCCAGAGACCTCGTCAGGTATCGAAATCCAAGTCAAATAACCCTAAATTATTGCAGGTTGATTCAGCTTGCAATCTCCCAAGCCCGTTGACATGGAAGCCTTAAATAAATGAGACAATGTAATGATTTCAGGCTCCAGGAGGGATTAACTCTGTTACAGCTTCAGTATTCTCTGAGTTAGCCAAAGACTGCTCCGGGGGGCCCATATTCATTTAGTTTACAAACAAAGGAGGAGGATACTCAAGAAAAAGGGGGAATCTGGGCAGGACTTTTCCAAGTAAAACATTATGTTAATTTAGGAGAACTACGTTATCTCCAGGAAGGCCTTCACAGCAGGAGTGAGATGCCTGCAGCTACCCTCTCCTTCAAATTAATTGGGGTTGGAGCCAGAGGTCCTCAGCTGCAGCCTTCAGACAACTCACACGGAAACACGGAAAACCAATTGGTTAATGTTAAATCCTGCTCGGAGCCACTTTGTTGTGGTCCCCAACAGTCGGGCCTTTTAAGGGCTGATCTCTGGAGTGTTAATGAGGGTCCAGGCAGAGGCGGTGTCCCTGGAGCCTGGGGTGCTGAAGGGAGGCTGGGGCTGCCCCCTGGTGGCTGGCCTGGGTCACTACAAGGCAGAGCCCACCAGCGGGAGTCAAACTCTGTCTAGACTCTTGAGTAAGGGGCCCACCGGACCCTCACTGCGCCAGGCCTCCCCCAGGGCCACTTCCCAGGTGCTTGGCAGCACCTGTCCCGTAAAGGTCCCTGAGGCTCTCACCTCCTCCCCAGGCGTCTGCCTTCCTTGGCTTGGCGCCCTGCCTGGCTCCCTGCCCAAACCAGCGCACCTGGGGTGGCCAGCCCACTTCCCGCTCCGCTTTCTGTCCAGGTGGTTGTGGGCAGCATCTTCACGGGGGGAAAGGGGGGGTGGAACCTGACTTTGTCCCTTCCCCGCACTGGGGACCAGGAGGAGAGGGGGTTCCGGCCCCAGGTAGTTTTAGTGGGGGAGGGAGAGCTAGGGCACAGTGCGGCAGGGAAGCCGTGTGTCGAGCGCAGGCATGTTCTTGCTTGCCCTTCCCAGCCCGCCAGTCGTGGCTGGCAGTCAGTGAGGGAGCAGCAATAAGCACCTGGCACGCAGGGCCCCCCGCTAAACTGCTGGGTACACAGTGTCAAGTGGCTCGGCTTGTGGGAGGCAGCCTGCTCTGCCCGCCTGCTTAGCAGTTCCAGCTTCCAGAAGCAGCACCCCACCTCCCAGGAGGCTCACCGGGTAGAGCCCAGGCCAGGACCGGCATGGAGAGGACAGAGCCACTGGGCCAGCTCCCTTCGTGGGTAACTGGAAGCCAAGCCTGCGAGCCTAGGCGGTGGCAGGGGCCCCCGGTGGGGTGGGGCCTCCATGGCAGCCGGGGACCCCTGCGCTGGGAGGGCCAGCGGCCTCTAGGGGAGCTGCAGATGCCTGCTCTTCCCAGACAGACGCCAGCAGGCTGGAGCCCAGTGCAAAGGACCTGGCCGAGGCGCAGCAGGAGCTGCGGTGGGTGGAGCTGAGCTCCGAGGCCCCTGGAGCCAGGGGAGAGAGGCCCGGGGCCCCCCAGGGCTGGGGCCACCTGCACCAGGCGGTGTGGTGCGGTTCCCCAGGCCTGGTGATGCAGCTGCTGCGGCAAGGGGCCCGCGTGGACGAGAGGTGAGCCCGGGTCCCCACTTCAGGGAGGGGTTCCCGGGGGCGCCCCTCCGGGCTGCTGGGGTCCGGTCGGGCCCCGCTCCCAGGTCCACGCACGCCCACGCCCGACGCCGCGCTCCTCCGCAGGGACGGCGCGGGCCGCAC